GGTGTTGCCGGAGAAGACTGTATCCTCGAGGCGGCCCTCGGGGAAGTACCTCGCCTTGAGGACCTGCGCACATAAACTGTGAGGATTAATTAGTAAGCGCCATGACTGCCGGGCAAGGAGGGCCTGGTTGAAGACACAAAAATTGGGGAATCCCAGCCCGCCCTGAGTTTTGTGTGCCAAGATCTTTGTCCACGCCAGCCAATGTGTCTTCCTCTTCCCTTCTGATGCACCCCACCAGAAGTTTCGGGCCATATGTTTGAGGTCATCACATACAGACATGGTAGCTTGAACACCCCTATTACGTATGTTGGTATAGCATGCGCAATGGCTTTGATCATCGTCTCCTTTCCAGCCAAGGACAACGTATCTCCCCATGCTATGATTCTCTTTAACAATCTGGACTGCAAGTTTTTGAAACTTCCCACGAGACATGCGACCCTCTGGAGTAGGGAATCCCAAGTATTTATCCTCAAACAAGTCACAATATTAAGAACTTCATGCACTTTCTGTTGCTCCTCAATTGGACATGCATCACCAAATAAAGCGTTGTACTTTGCCGGATTAATACTCTGGCACGTGGCCCTCCCATAAGCATGCAGGACCTGCTTCACATTCTTTGCTTGCTCGTCTTCAGCTTTGAAAAAGAGTAGCGTGTCATCTGCAAAAAGTAGGTGGGACACACTAGGAGCTCTGCGGCACACCTTTAGCGGGGTAAAATCACCATTTTTCTTCCCCTTTCTTCAACAATGCAAATAGACCATCAGCCACCAAAAAAAATAGGAACGGGGATAGAGGATCACCTTGCCGTAGCCCACGGGACAGTGCAAACGAATCCAATAGGGTACCATTAAATTTTACAGTGTATCTCACCGAGGTGACGCATGACATAATCCAGTTCACCCACTGGTGAGCGAAACCAATCTTTTGCATCATTCGCTCCAAGAAGATCCAGTCCACCTTGTCATATGATTTAGACAAATCCAGTTTATATGCGCAAAAACTTTTTGCAGGGTCCTTCTCTTGTGGTATATAGTGAAAGCATTCAAAAGCAATTAAAGCGTTGTTTGTTATGAGGCGTCCAGGTACAAAGGCACTGTGTTAAGTCTTGCTTCTTGATGTAGCATTTGACGGATGTAGCGCTTGCCGGGTGCGGTGCTTGCCGGTGAATATCGATTATTCGCCGGCATAGCTATGCACTGTCATGGCACATGCTCGGAGGGTAGTGGAACCCCGGTTTTTACTACACCTACGGGGGAGCTGTTGATTTTTTTTTGCATGATGTACATATGATGAATGTTCTTTAGCTCGCAACTTTGTTCATGTAACTTTTGAGTTCACCCATATGGAGATTAATATTGAAGCGCATATTCTAGCTACACGTGTCGAGTGGGAGCTATCGATTTTTTTTGCCAGGATGACCTTGCAGCAGACAATTTAACTATTTTGCCAAAATAAATAAAGCGCACCCTGAAGGCTTGCCCTAAAAAATAGCCTCTTATTTTCTCATAGATAGTGTTAAGTCTACCACACTAATTTTGCCTCAAACGCTTTTACACTTTAGAGTTCACTAAACCTTCATTTTTTTTCGTCCTCGGCCACTGTCTTCGGGAGATGTATGTAATGTAAATAAACATCAACAGAGAACTAGCACAGTTTGACGTGACTTGCCCCATCGGTTTTGGTCCGTCGTTATCTTTCTCCTCTGTAGATCCATGGATAGCGCGAAAATGGACAAATTTGGTCATTTTCTAAAGCTGTAGCACAAAATGAACTAGAATAAAATAAAAGGACAGGATGACCCACTTTGCATGATGCCGGGGGCTCGGGCTCCGTGCTAGATAGCATGGTACCTGGGCTAGGGCACCATGCTAGATAGCACCACATCCTTAGTGGAGTTAGCTGTTGCGCCATCTAGCATGACACCCCGGGCCAACGCATCGTGCTATCTAGCATGAAACCACAGCTCCGAGCATCATACAAATGGGCCATTTTATGAAAAAAAAAATTGTTCCAGGTCATTCTATGCTAAAGTTTCAAAAAAGGGACAGATTTGTCATTTTCACATGGATGGCATCTGCATACATCAATCTGCACCATCACGTCGTGTCATCCATTAAACATGGTATGGACCACTTCCTTTGTATTGATGGGATGGAGTTGTATATACAAGTGTCACACACACAGTTCCTAGAGCCCTTCTCAATGCTCCACTTTGAACATATGCAAGACTATCAAGTAGGCATAAAATCTAATGTGGCATGTTAATTATGAAAAAAAGAGTAGTTTGGTGACCTAGTAAGAAACACCCTAATCAAATTAAGGAAGCTTAGCAATAAAAAAGCTACGCACTTAGAGCATCTCCAACAGGCGCGCGATATTAGCGCCGCGCTGAAAAATTCGTATTTTACGTGTGCGCGCAGCTGTTCAAGTCGCTCCAGTGGAGACGCAAAAAACACGTGCGGGGCATAAACTGGTTCAGCGCGCAGAGAGAAACGGCATCGCGTGCCGCTTATTTCATGCGCCCGCTCCCGCGCGCTGCACACTCGAGCGCCCGCGCCGCACTGCCGCCATCCTCTCCGGCTGCCCCGCCTTCGCCCCGCCCCACGCCTTCACCGGCGAATTTGCCCGATGGATGGCCGCGCGGACATCCCCCCAACCCCTTCCTACGCCCGCGACCCCTCCGCCGCCGCTGCCGGCGCAAACCCTAGCCCGGGGAGCTTTGGCTTCACCTCCGCTGGTGCTCCTCCAAGCACAGGTCTCGCGCGCGGCCTTTTCATGGCGCCACAGACGACGTCGGTAGGTGGCGTCGCGCAGGCACCCACCTTGAAGCCACATGCCCCCCTTTTGAAGCTCCCAAATGCGCCGGTGGCGAAGGCGGGCAAGGTGTCCGGGAAGAAGAAAAAAGCGGTGGACGGCTCCTCTAGGCGGCCGAAGAAGAAACTTGCAGGGCGTGTGATGGATGCAGCGGTGAACAAAGCGCCGGCAAGCTCGCTTGTTGCGCCGTCGGCCAATGCGCACAAGGTATTCGATGAAATGCCCGCAAGGTATGATTTCACCCACTTTTTTTCGTTATTGTTTTTTACATGAACGGATACATATGGATAGCTTATTTAGTCTTGTTGTATATACTTTGTAGTTTCAATGATGGGTGTTGGCTCAAATAATTCTCATTGGTCTCAAACCAATGAAGTGCATTTAGATGATCATGACTTTGAGGTGGATGAGGATGGTTAGGGCGCCGTCAATGCACCGAAAGGAAGAGCGGGCAACTACACCATGGACGAAGATATCTCGCTAAGCAATACATGGTTGAAAGTGTCTAGGGATGCCACCATTGGAGGGGACCAAAGTAGAGATGCATATTGGATCCGGATGAAGGAGCACTTTGATTTACACAACAGTAGTGGAATTGGCCGCACAGAAAGATCTCTTCGCTCCCGGTGGTCGACAATCAACAAAGATTGTCAAAGGTGGGCGGCCGCACTTAAGGCAGTTGATACAATAAACCCAAGTGGCACTAATGATAGAGATAGGGTAAGTGATTCTTCCATGTTCACGTGCTTCTTCTTTGGTGTTTCAAGTGCTAACTTGTTCTTTTGTTTGTCGCTCACTATTGCACAAAACTCGTTTCACGGAGAGGAGAAGAAGACCATGAAAAGGAAGATCAAGAAAGGGAGACCAATTATCTTGCCCCATTGCTACGATGTGTGGCAGGATGATGAGAAATCGAAGCCCCGTGAAGGTGTCGAAGAGGAGAGCAACAAACGCAAGCGAACTATTGATTTGGATGATGAGGAGGAGGAGGCATCAAGTGATGATGGCAAGAGAAGCCCTACACCAAACTCAGTTGCCTACTGCAAGCCAAAAATACCAAATGGAGGGAAGAAAGATGCAAAATAAAAGAAGAAGAGGAAAGGAGATGATGAGTTAAAATGATATAGAAGCTATTGTGAAGGCAAGAAAGGAAGCGAACAAGGCGAGGATGATGGACACATCTACCCTCGATAAGAAGCAAAAGGCGTATGTCAATCTTACCTTCGGAGTTACCATGGGAGACATGGGTGGCTTCGGAGTTATCATGGGAGGCATGGGAGGCATGGGTGCCTTCAGAGCTACCATGGGAGGCATGGGTGGCTTCGGAGCTACCATGGGAGGCATGGGTGGCTTCGGAGCTACCATGGGAGGCATGAGTTTTGGGTCTCTCATGGGAGGCATGGGAGCACCTCTAGGTGACATGTGTGGACGCATGTCTTACAGTGTGCCTCACATACCTTCGCATGATGCCGTTGGAGATCTTGCCAACACCTTCCGAGCTCCCCATGATGATGTGGCACGCGACACTGAAGAGGAGGAAGAATCTTCTTCAGATGAGGATGAAGAATCGGAGGAAGAGGAGGACGAAGATGATGCAGCATGGTCGTTGATGTGCCATTTATTTGTGTGGACTTTTATGTCATGAATTTGGTTGGGTGATTTTGAACCTTGTTGGATGATGGTGTGGCATGATTGTTGATGTGTCGTGCATTTGTACTATGCTATTTCTATATTTTTCATAAAATGTTTAAAATATCATCAAAATGAACATGTTGCAAGCGCCGGCTGCTCGCGCGTGCTGTAAAAGTTTGCGCGTCTGCTGAAGCGACGAGCGCGCGTAATTTTTTTTGCAGCGTCCGTTGGAGCCAGCGCTCTGCGACGCGAAAAAAGTTGTTATTTCGAAGCTGTAAACTTATTTTAGTGCGCCGCGGTTGCGCGCGGGTTGGAGATGCTCTTCTGCATTGAAAGAGGCCAAAATCACGTACTCCTGCTACTGTCGCTCGCCCCTTGAAAAAGACCGCATTCTGCTCTTCTATAAACCCAGTTCATAGCCAGCGGTGAGATAGACTGGACCCTTCGTCAGATCGTCACCCGGCCCTTTTCTAGTCTACGACGTCCTCTTCTCGCTCGGCAAGAAGGTTAACATATAGGAGTACGTGTACCAGGAGTTTGTGTGTTATTAAAGCATGTCGAGCAGTGCAGAATTTGTACGACGACACCACCGACACACGCACCTACACTATATGCACCCAGTGACCCTCTCAGCTTTCGCAGAGCCACCAGTTAACTTCGCTCTTGTCTGCAAGATGTTGGGAGTTGGTGAGATGAACCACCGGCTCGAGGCGAATGGGCACGGCAAGCCGGTGGCCATGGCGAAGCAGGAGCAGCTGCAGCAGAGGGGAGATCATAAGGAGACCCTGTGGTACGAGGAGGAGATCCATGACGACCTCAAGATCTGCTACGCCTTGAACAGGTACCTAAATCTTAAGCCTCTTTGAGCGGTCATGTGAAATCTTGGCTTCTTTGAAGCTGCCATGGACTAAACAAAGTGACCTGTGTGCAGTTTTTTGCTTTCTGTGCTGCTTGAAAGCGTGCTGCACCGAGGGAAAAGCAAGTACCAGGAGATTGCCCTGGTTAATACCAAGTGTTTCGGAAAGGCTCTGATAATCCACGGGAAGATGCAGAGCGCGGACGCGGACGAGTTCATCTACCACGAGTCCTTGATACACCCGCCGCTTCTCTTCCATCCCAAGTAAGCTATCCTATCAGTCCCCGAATTGGGCTTGGTTTTCAGTCACTCTTGGGTCAATGCAATCTGGATATTTCATTCCAAACTACGAGTAGTACTCCATAGAGAGATGTGGCCTAGAGTATTGCACGTTTATCTCCTACCCAAAAATCATATCATTGCAGCCCGGAGACGGTGTTCATCATGGGCGGCGGCGAGGGATCAGCGGCGAGGGAGGCGCTGAAGCAAAAGACCGTCCAGAGGGTGGTGATGTGCGACATAGACGAGGTGCGTTGCGCGTACCACATAACACCAACAGATCCATCACGTCCACAAACTTGTTGTTATATGGCTCACACAATTAAACACGTCCGTCCAAACGTGCACGACGACGGCAGGAGGTGGTGCACTTCTGCCGGACGCACCTCAGCGTCAACTGGGACGCGTTCGCCAGCGACAAGCTCTGCCTCGTCATCAACGACGCCAGGTACTACCTTCGTTCTGGTTTATTGGTCCTTATTATATTTTGTGCTAAATTTTAACCCAAAATTTAACTAACAAAATATTATTGTATGTCATCAAAAATAATATCATGGAAAACTATGTTCAAAGACAAAAATAATATCATCGAAAACTATGTTTAAAGGACGGGGGTAGTACTACACTAAACACAGTACTACTCACAAAAACTGAATCAATGAGCCAACTGGACGTTGATTGATGGATGCTGCAGGGCTGAGCTAGAGAAGATGCGGGAGGAGAAGTTCGACGCGATAGTGGGGGACCTCGCGGATCCCATGGAGGGAGGCCCCTGCTACCAGCTCTACACCAGGTCCTTCTACGAGCAGGTCCTCAAGCCCAGGCTCCACGACGGTGGCATCTTCGTCACACAGGCAAATTCAAAAGCTTTGATTTTGCTACCCGTCGATGCATCTCAGTCAGTCTATTAACTCTTCTGCTTGTCTTGTTTGGGTTAACACAGGCTGGACCAGCGGGCGTCCTGACGCACAAGGAGGTCTTCTCATCCATCTACAACACCCTTAGGCACGTCTTCAAGCGTGAGTATATCCAATCAAGCTCTCTACTTATTTTTCAAAGCATTGAGGTCTCTACTTATGAACCATACATGTCTTGCCTTGATGATGTAATATATGCAATTATGCATACATATGGGATGAATAATTTGCAACTAACTAGGTAGCTGGATCTGCCTGCTGGTTTTGATCACAGATGTGAAAGCATACACTGCCCATGTGTCGTCCTTCGCTGACACCTGGGGCTGGGTCATGGTAGGCACCACCCTTGTCAATAAATTTGGATCTGATAGTACAAGCACTGTTTTCATATTATGCAGTGGAGAGTAGTGATCGACGTGCTTCTGTCTCGTTGACAACATGCATGCCTGTAGGCATCAGATCATCCCTTCACCCTCACCGCCCAGCAGATCAACGAGAGGATCACGGACAGGATTGATGGCGAGCTGTCGTACCTCGACGGGGAGACCCTTATTTCTTCAACCACTCTCAACAAGACCGTCTTCCACTCGTCAGTCACCGCCTCCTCTTGCTCTCCACTACTACTACTCTTGGGACACAAACAGATAACATGGACTTAAAACATGCAGACTATTGAATGAAAGGCATGTGTACACGGAGGATGACGCGAGGTTCGTCCACGGACATGGGACTGGGAGGGCAGCCATGCTTAACTGAACGGGAACCCTCCGACCTGAAGTCATCGACCGGTCATCTATATGCATGGGAAAACAAGGGGAGAAACCAAGTGCAAATTTGATAGGAGCTATTCAAATTAAAACTGTCAAGATGAAGTTCTCTCGTGTTTGTTTCCTATGAATTGAGAATGATGACAATAAAATAATTATATTATGCCAAGTTTCATCCATAAATTGCAGTGAGTGTCCAATTGGATATCCCAGTGGATAGCATCCTCATATCCCTGGCTAATAACGTAGTGCCAGAAAAACAATATATGTTGAACAAGGCTTTGTAGTGTCAAGAATCGTTCGCGGGTACAGAGAACCAAGGTATCAATTCGCGAAGTTCTCCCGCGAGCACATGATTATACCTACACTGAACTAACAAACTTTACCATGGTTACCTTAAAAAAATGTAACGTTCCCTCTCCCATCTTACGTCCCCACCCTTCGTCCAACCTCCTCGTACGACCCCCACCCCTCCACTGATTTTCTTTCCTCCCACCATCGATTTTCTTTCCTCCCTTCACCGGTTCTCTCTTTGGTTACCTCTGATCTATATATCTATACCTATACTAATTAGAGACTCCCTAGAAATTATTATGTTAATCAAAAATTAGGAGTCGTTATTCTTTGTGGGGCCGAATTATTACGGTATAGATCAGTTGATGCTATTTCCATACTAATTAGTCTCCCTATAAATTATTACTTTAATAAGAAATTAGGAGTCATTAATCTTTTTGGGACCGCATTATTACGGTTTAGATCATCCCATGTGATTTCCATATTTTATTACGTGTAGATCAATCCATATATCCTTCGATTGTAATATTGATAGGAGGAATTCAAATTAAAATTGTCAAGATGATAAGTTCTTTTGTGTTTGTTTCCTATGAGAACGATGGCAATAAAAGAATTATATTATGCCGAGTTTCATCCATGAATTGCAGAGTGTGTCCAATTGGATATCCCAGTGGCACTAGTAGAAAACAGGGCTTTGGTTCGGGCCTGGCCAGCACATTAGTCCCGGTTCTTCACGAACCGGGACCCATGGGGGCATTAGACCCGGTTCATGAGCCGAGGGGGCCGGCCGGGGCCTCGTGGGCATTGGTCCCGATTCGTCTGGACCCATTTGTCCCAGTTCTAGGCACAAACCGGGACCAATGGGCCGAGCTCCTGGCCCACATCCATTGGTACCGGTTCGTGCCTTAAACCGGTATAGAAGGGGGGCTTTAGTCCCGGTTTATGCCATGAACCGGGACAAATAATTCGCCTATATATACCCATCGTCGCGGCAGAGCACTCTGTTTTTTCTGGCCAGCGAGGGGAGGGCATTTGGGTGCTCTAGCTCACCTCCTATGCACATGAGGTGTTAGATGAAATGCCCGAGCCACACTAGTTAAGCTTTCTCCTCTCGAAGCTCGACCTCGGAGCTCCATTTTCCCCGAGATTTGTCTAGATTTAGCTCGCAGTCACGCCCCGTCCCCGTTTTCAGCGCTGTTGATCGCCCGCGCCGATCTCGTCGCTGGCACCACCGTGGTGAGCCTCTTGTTCTTATATTCTTTCTGATTTTCTTACTTTAGATAGATACTTTTCTGATTTTCTTACTTTAGATAGATATTTGTCTGATTTTCTTACTTTTGACACACATGATTATATATAATGCACGCAGATGAACCGACAATGGATGTATGGTGACAAACACACCTCCGAGTACATTAAGGGCGTGCATAATTTTCTCGAAGTGGCTGAGGCAAACAAGCAGAATGGTTTTATGTGTTGTCCATGCCCTAAATGTGGGAATACGAAGTCTTACTCTGACAGGAAAATCCTTCACACCCACCTGCTTTACAAGGGTTTCTTGCCACACTATAATGTTTCGACGAGGCACGGAGAAATAGGGGTTATGATGGAAGACGGCGAAGAAGAAGAGGACGATGACAACTATGTGCCCCCTGAATACGGTGATGCTGCAATGGTGGGAGCTGCTGAAGATCAAGAGGAACCAGACAATGTGCCCGATGATGCTGCAACGGGGGAAGCTACTGAAGATCAAGAGGGACCAGACGATGTGTCCGATGATGATGATCTCCGCCGGGTCATTATCGATGCAAAGACGCAATGCGAAAGTCAAAAGGAGAAGCTGAAGTTCGATCGCATGTTAGACGATCACAAAAAAGGGTTGTACCCCAATTGCGAAGATGGCAACACAAAGTTGGCTACCGTACTGGAGTTAGTGCAGTGGAAGGCAGAGAATGTTGTGCTTGACAAAGGATTTGAGAAGCTACTGAAAATGTTGAAGAAGAAGCTTCCAAAGGATAACGAATTGCCCGACAGTACGTACGCAGCAAAGAATGTCGTATGCCCTCTAGGATTGGAGGTGCAGAAGATACATGCATGCCCTAATGACTGCATCCTCTACCGCGGTGCATACCAGGATTTGAACGCATGCCCGGTATGTGGTGCATTGCGGTATAAGATCAGACGAGATGACCCTGGTGATGTTGACGGCGAGCCCCGCGAGAAGAGAGTTCCTACGAAGGTGATCTGGTATGCTCCTATAATACCACGGTTGAAACGACTATTCAGAAACAAAGAGCATGCCAAGTTGATGCGATGGCACAGTGAAGACCGTAAGAAAGACGGGAAGTTAAGAGCACCCACTGACGGGTCGCGGTGGAGAAAAATCGAGAGAGAGTACTGGGCTGAGTTTGCACGTGACCCAAGGAACGTATGGTTTGGTTTAAGCGCGGATGGCATTAATCCTTTCGGGGAGCAGAGCAGCAATCACAGCACCTGGCCCGTGACTCTATGTATGTATAACCTTCCTCCTTGGATGTGCATGAAGCGGAAGTTCATTATGATGCTAGTTCTCATCCAAGGCCCTAAGCAACCCGTCAACGACATTGATGTGTACCTAAGGCCATTAGTTGAAGAACTATTACAGCTGTGGAATGGAAACGGTGTACGTGCGTGGGATGAGCACAGACAGGAGGAATTTAACCTACACGCATTGCTGTTTGTAACCATCAACGATTGGCCCGCTCTCAGTAACCTTTCAGGACAGACAAACAAGGGATACCACGCATGCATGCACTGTTTAGCTGACACTCAAAGTATATACCTGGACAAATGCAGGAAGAATGTGTACCCGGGCCATCGTCAATTTCTTCCGACCAACCATCAATGTCGAAATAAAAGGCAAGCATTTCAAAGGCGAGGCAGATCACCGGAAGAAGCCCGCCATGCGTACCGGTGATCACGTACTTGCTATGGTCAATGATTTACACGTAATCTTTGGAAAGGGTCCCAGCGGACTAGCTGTTCCGAGTGACGCTGGGGGACACGCACCCATGTGGAAGAAGAAATCTATTTTTTGGAACCTACCCTACTGGAAAGACCTAGAGGTCCGTTCTTCGATCAACGTGATGCACGTGATGAAGAATCTTTGTGTGAACCTGCTAGTCTTCTTGGGCGTGTATGGGAAAACAAAAGATACAACTGAAGCACGGGAGGACCTGCAACGTTTGCACGAAAAAGACGGCATGCCTCCAAAGCAGTATGAAGGTCCTGCCAACTACACTCTTAACAAAGAAGAGAAGGAAATCTTCTTTGAATGTCTGCTTAGTATGAAGGTCCCGACTGGCTTCTTGTCGAATATAAAGGGAATAATAAATATGCCAGAGAAAAAGTTCCAGAACCTAAAGTCTCATGACTGCCACATGATTATGACGCAACTGTTTCCGGTTGCATTGAGGGGGCTTCTACCGGAAAACGTCCGATTAGCCATTGTGATGCTATGTGCATTCCTGAATGCAATCTCTCAGAAGGTGATCGATCCAGAAATCATACCAAGGCTAAGGAGTGATGTGGTGCAATGCCTTGTCAGTTTCGAGCTGGTGTTCCCACCATCCTTCTTCAATATCATGGCGCATGTCCTAGTTCATCTAGTTGATGAGATTGTCATTCTGGGCCCCGTATTTCTACACAATATGTACCCCTTTAAGAGGTTCATGGGAGTCCTAAAGAAATATGTCCGTAACCATGCTAGGACAGAAGGAAGCATCTCCATGGGCCATCAAATAGAGGATGTCATTGGGTTTTGTGTTGACTTCATTCCTGACCTTAAGAAGATAAGTCTCCCTGAATCGCGGTATGAGGGGAGACTAACTGGAAAAGGCACGCTTGGAAGGGACTCAATAATATGCAGGGACGGATATTCTTGGTCTCAAGCACACTAGACTGTTCTACAGAACTCTACCTTGGTGACCCCGTATGTCGATGAACACAAGAACAGTCTGCACTCCAAGCACCCGGAGCAGTGCGACGACTGGATTACATGTGAACACATCAGGACTTTTAGCATTTGGTTGGAAACACGTCTTAGAGGTGACAACACTATTTGTGATGAGTTGTACTCGTTGTCCAGGGGACCATCTTCGACTGTATTGATTTACAAAGGATACAAGATAAATGGGAATACATTTTACACGATCACCCAAGATCAAAAGAGCACCAACCAAAACAGCGATGTCCGCTTTGATGCAGCAACAGAGAGGGGAAAAGACACATATTATGGTTACATAGTGGACATATGGGAACTTGACTACGGACATTATTTTAAGGTCCCTTTGTTTAAGTGCAAATGGGTCAATCTGTCAGGAGGCGGGGTACAGGTAGACCCACAGTACGAAATGACAACAGTGGATCTGAACAATCTTGGGTACACTGACGAACCGTTCGTCCTAGCCAATGATGTGGCACAGGTTATCTATGTGAAGGACATGTCTACCAAACCAAGAAAAAGAAAAGATAAGGAAGCGAATACATCATACGATGAGCCAAAGCGCCACATAGTTCTATCAGGAAAAAGGGACATCTTGGGAGTGGAGGGCAAGACAGACATGTCCGAAGATTATGAAAAGTTTCATGAAATTCCTCCCTTCAAAGTCAAGGATGACCCAAGCATCCTGATAAATGATGAAGATTATCCATGGT